TCTCCATAGATAATTGTGTGTGTCTGTGTGTGTGTGTGGTCCGACCAGTGTATTTGGACATTAAGTGTGTATGCTGTGTGTTTATATGTTATGATGTGTTTAGTGCAGGTTTAAATTTGTTTATGAAGTTTATAAAATAAGGTTTATGACTTCTTCGTAACCCTATCTTCCTGTCTCATAAACTGTTTAAAAGTAATGAAAAGGGCATTACTTTGTTTTAGTTCTTGAAAATGGTCCCACCAAATTCAATTTTACCATACACGCAATAAGATTAAAAATAAAATTATTTCAGAAGCTTTATTTTTCAATTTGCTAATGATGTAATAGGACAGAACTTATGAATTTTTAAACGCATTTAACAGTCTCTAATTATAAGTAAAAACTGCAAATTTGTAGACGTTTTATTTTTCAACTAGTCAAATTAACTGCGCCTTGCTGCGTGACATGCATTTATTTTGTAAGAAAACGATGACTGATTTTAAATCATTGTTATAATTTGTGGGAAAAAAATTATGCATTTTAACTCAATCATGTGACTTCCATCTGGCTGTCTGTTTCTCTATTTTGAATAGGAATCATTCCTTTGTTAGAATTTAAATTTAATTTAAATCAAAGGGAAATAATCAGTGTAAGGTTTGTGCAAAAGCAGTTTGATCTGACCCCCGTATAACAAACAAACAAACCGAGGTTACAACTTTATACTGTGGAAAAATAAGTGAAATTACCTACACATATGGAGCGGCCGCCTGACGTGGAGACTGAGTGGTTGACGGATTCTCGTTTTTCAAAGCGAGGCTGCTCCAAGGCAATTGATTTTGTAGTTTTTGTTACCGGAAACGGTGGGGAGGGCAGATCTGCTCTTTGTTATTTAAAGAATGCCTTCTCTTCCTTTTCTTTTATTTTTTGAGAAGGACATTACGCGAACAGAGCGATCTTCTCTCTATTATTTGATCCCTGTTTTATATTAGGACGCAAGACTAGTCGTGTTTCGCAATCACTTACTGACGGACCAACTTTGATTATATTTGAATCAAAGACATTTTCGACAATATATAGAGATTTGCTAATCATGTAATTCGATAGTACTTACGCATTTTTAACGTTTTTAACAGTTTATGGCAAAAGGACAGGGGTTTTCAAACTGTGATCCGCGGACCACAGGGGGGCCGCAAGGACAAGATAGGGGGTCTGTGGACTGCAAAGACTTTTTTAATCGTGACGTGCAACTTATAAGCGCTTATAAGTAACTTATAGGCCGATCATGAAATAAATTGATTCAATAAACTATTTCATAGATTTGATATACTAATATAATTTGTATCTTAAATTGATAAAAGATAATGGATTCTATTCCTGCAGAGAAGGAACCAAAGGATTTGAATTTTGGATCTATTTTGCGATTTCCGGCTTTCTCATTGGCTGTTAGGCGTCACGTGTGCAAATCTTCAAACGGGAGACATAAAAAAAAATCAGTTTTATGCAGCAACAACTTTTGAAATTCTGGCTCACTGTAGCCTCCGAGTAGCCATTGTTATCTCGAAAAGCAGTTAAGATTTTGTTACCGTTTGCAACAACATATTTATGCGAAGCAGGATTTTCGGCACTAATCAATCTGAAAAACAAATACAGATCCAGACTTGCTCCAGAAAGTGACTTACGTGTATGTTTATCAGTAATATCGCCAAGAATTGACAGTTTGTGCAAAGCCAAGCAAACACGTCCTTCTCACTAAGTGTGTATTAAAAATCCTTGACAATAAAACTATATGTTAAATACTATCACTGTTTTCATTTACATGTAAAATTAATATTTTAATATAACAAAATTTTGTTACATTTTGCAGCAACATGCAGCATTAATTTATTTGAACACTTATGTCTAAAGTAAGGTTTAAACCAGCTTTTACTGCATTAATGCAAAATTATATGTTATATTCAGCAAATATTTATGTATAAATTTCATAAGCGTTTATAACGGGGCCCCTAAGGTAAAACCTGAAATATAAAGGGGTCCGCAAGTCAAAAAGTTTGAAAACCCCTGCTATAGAATAACACAGAAACTTACAAATAAAGAAAAATTTCAAACATTCATATACAGTTAGAAACTTAATCTACAAAAATAGCTATATAAAGAAAAAGAATGTGGAATATTTAGCACAAATATGGCAGAATATACAATTATTGTGATTTGATAGACAGAATAAATGCAAGCCGAAGTTACTTCTTTTTTCTTCTTTTTCTTTTATGTTCCTTCAGGACATAGACGATCACGGCTCTCCACTTTCTCCAATCTCTTGTCGTTCTCAATATGTTTTGTACCTTTGCTATTTCTCCCAGACCCTGTTCTGTCATCCACTTGGTTAAGCCCGTTAGGTATGTCACGCGTTGCTTTCCCTTATCTCTCTTTCCCTCTATCCGTCCTGTGTGTATCAGATTCTCCAAGCACTCTTTTCTCATTACGCGTTCCAGGAATTTCAACTGCCTCTTACCGATGTTAAGTATAAGCTTCCTCCATTTGTTTGCATCCTCTCCAAAACCTCATCGTTGCTCACATTGTTCGTTTCATGTTATCCTTAGCATAATTCTGTAAAACCATACCTCCGTTACTTCGAGTCTCTTCTTCATCTTTGAGGAGATCGTACAACATTTACTGCCGTAAAGGAGGACAGATATCACGTAGCAGTTCAGAACTCTTTCCTTTGTTACCAACGAAATCCTTCTGTCTCGTAATATTCTGCCTAGCTTTTGGGATGCGTCTTTGGTCATCCCAATACATCGTCGGATCTCAGCGTCGCACTTACCATCCTCTGTCAGAACATTTCCCAGATATTTAAATTTCCGAACCTGGTTCATTTTAGCGTCCCCAATCTGTAAATAGTATTTCGGGCTGATCTTTTTACTGATGACCATGCATTCTGTTTTCTTGATTATGCTTAGTCCCTTATTCTCGTTCTTCTTCGCTACCTTCTGTAAGAGTTTTTGTAATTTAATTTCCTTGTCTCTGCGTATCTTATGTTGCTAAGATTGTGGCCACCAATGATGAATCCTATTAGGATTTACCGTTTTCTCAGAATTGCCTTGACGTATAGGTTGAATATGTCCGGTGAGAAGACGCATCCTTGCCTTACACCCCTTTCTATTTTTGTATATCTGATGAACTCATTCTCTATCCGAATGCAGATCGTTTCCTGCCAGTATAGGTTCTTGATTATTCGAATATCTTTCCCAAATATATCAAATTTACTGAGTACTTTCGACAGATCCTTGTGGCGTACTTTGTCGAAGGCCTTTGCGTAGTCTATAAAACATAGATGCACCGCCCTTCTGCATTTGTATTGTTCTTTTCTGATAACATTCTGAG